AAATTTTCCCTTGTTTTTCCAAACTCAGATGGTTGCAGGCAACCAAGTCAATAATCTCAGGAACAAACACTCAAGCACTGACGGCCAAGGCTGACTTACTCAAGGAGGAGATGGATGAGGCCATGAACAAAGTGGAGCTTTGCAAGGTAACGAGCATGAATATCAATGACTAGCTGATATGTCTTTTATATGAAAACTATTGCTACATTGTGGTCTTTAATAAGTTTATGACAGGATACACCACCAGTCATGTATTGTCAGGGTTATATTGCAGCCATGTCACTTTGCATAGTGGTAATAAAACTTGACCTGATGTCATTATATGCAGATGACAAGCGTTTAGTAGATGAAGTCGGTATATAACGCTGTTTAGTATTAGCTAGTATCTTTGGGCAGGCAATAGGTCATTTATGGCTTTATGAGTTAAAGAAATTGGAAATAGGCCTTATCATAAGTGGGGGGGAAAAATAATTACAGCAACAACTGGACTTCCCAAGACCCTTGGGCCCTGTGACCCAGTTTGCTGACGCACACAAATGAAAATGAAAATGTCCCGTCAGCTCAGTGTTTGTGTGAGTGTTTGCATCTACTGACCTGAATTAATGGCGAGTTTTAGTGGCTGCCTGATGTGTCAGGTTTTCTGTCCGGGAAGGGCAGAGCCTTGTGTTTCCCCTTCACAAGTTCTCCCTCCCAGCCTCACTGAATCCTGTTGACAACAGGAGGATTTATGACTCACGTAGAGCACAGACCGGTGGCTTAGTTGACCACTGACGTCTGTCCTTGTGCCACCTGAAATACACATTAATTTGATGGATGACACTGTGTAGTGGAGATCAGAGATCTTTACTAAATTAATAAGAGTTTAGAGCAGCAAAGTGACCCTTTGTCTCACTGACTGTCGTTCTTATTGTAAAGCACATTGTGACTTGGTTTAGAAAGAAAGTATTAACTTTATGGCTATCGTCTTTCAGTGCTCTAACTGTTCAAATTCCTGTCTTTATTACCCAGGATCAACTTGCTGCAGACATGTACAGTTTTTTCTCAAAAGAAGGGGACTATGCCCGCTACTTTGTAACAGTGAGTACAGCGTGTCAACAAGCCAAACATGTGTCTTTGTGGGAATCTTCACAGCTGCACAGGAACTGGGGAACACAGACTTGGCCCGCTGTTTTATTTACTTTGCTGTCATGTCTTTTACTGCTCGCCTGACTCAGCTCACCCCCATATTTCTCTCTGTGGTATTTTTGTTTCTGTAGCTCTTAGAAGCTCAAGCTGATTACCACAGAAAGTCTCTCACTGTTCTGGAGAATGTCTTGCCAACCATCCAGGCACAGCAAGGTAATAATACATGCAAACATGCCATTTAACACAAAACACTGCAGTGTTGTTTAAAAAAAGTTGCATACAAGAAGGGTCTGTGCAGTGCATAGTATGGGACCTCTTTATATGTTTCCTGGAGAATGCACATGTGCCCTTTTCAGACCAACAGCCCCTGTTTTTCTTTGGTTCCTGTGTTGTTTGGTGTCCCTTCAAACTAACCTTTTTCTGTTAGTCACTGGAGAAGTTTAACTAGCTTGCCCAAAGGTGAACTGACAGGTAGTTGCTAGGAGAAGAAACAGTTTTTCATTCACTTTTCCAACTAGTGTGAGAAATGAAACCAGCTACTGTACCTTTCATTTATATCACTCTGGTCTGTTTTTCTAACTTCTGGACTACCAGAATTTGCTCCAGTTGCGGTAATTGTTAAAAGCCACAACTGAGGCCCAGATATTAAAGAATAGTCTTTTGTTTTCACCTCTTTGCCCTCCAAGAGTAATCAACTTTTCCATTTTACAAACACGATGTCTCCTCTCCAAGCTCCTTTACTGGGTTTTTGCCTTTTTTTGCAGTCATGAAGTGGTGTCCTATTCAAGGGGCTTGTTTTTTTCTTTGCTAAACACATGTGGTCTAAACCAGACAAGCCTGGTCTCCCAGCATGTGGCGATGACTCACGAACTCCACACGCACACCCTCACCCCTTCTCTCATCACCCACCCACCTGGGTTTTGCAAGCTCTCCCCCCTCCTCGCTCCTCTGCCTCCCTGTTCGCTCGCACATTAGCTCACAACAATCCACCAAACACACACACACACACACACACACACACACACACACACAAACAAACAGAACGACGGCTGAACAGTCACTCCTGCTGGCCCGGAGCATGTGGTTATTATTTGACGGCACCCCAGGACTAGTGAGGAACTGGCCCGAGGGAGAGTTTTTGACCCAGAAATCTGCAGTCCAGGCCAGCAACAGGCTTGTTTGAGGCCTGTGCTGATGTGCTGATGTGCTGATTTTTTTATTGCATACCAGTGTAACAGATCGGTCATACAAACAATCTGCACCAGCTAAATTGCAACGCTCGTTTTATGTCTCATCAGATTTGAAACAATGTGAATAAAATTACAGTATGGTCTCTTCACAATGAATTGCTCCCTTTGTGTTTAGACTCGTGGACAGAGAAGCCTGCATTTGGCACTGGGCTGGATGAACACCTGAAAAGGAGCGGGAGGGAGATCGCCCTGCCATTAGAGGCCTGTGTCATGATGCTTCTAGAGACCGGCATGAAGGAAGAGGTAAGGAAGACTGAGAGATGAGAATGGGAAGAAGCCCTGTTCATAACATCCTACATGATTATTCTGCACTATGGATAGACAGATGGAAGCATTGATCTACTGTATGAGTGAAAATAAATTGATATAGATCGTTCTCTCCTTCTGTAAGATGAGTGCAACGAGAGGCTGAAAATTGGTGTCACATGGGCGTTAAGAACAGCACAAGTAACTCTGCTGACTTACCAGAAATGATGCTGTATTGCCATTGCCAAAATTAAACCGCTTCTCGGAAGTCAGTCAAGACATTGGAAGATGTGTGATGGGCATTTTTCACTATTTTGTGACCTTTTATACACCAAATTATTAAAAAGAAAATAATCTGTAGATCAACTGTTAAAGACAATAATCATTAATAATTGCAGCCCTTATTTGTTTTGGTTTCATGGCCTGCATATTAACTCTGTTGAGTCTCAGTCACAAGTCTTGCCAAGCCTGAAGGAGGAACTGTGTGTTATCAGATCTGATGGACAAAAGCCAATCTTTTAGTAAACGTAAGGGCCACTTCCCTGAGAAGTTGGTGGAGACCAAAATAGAGCTCAAAGGAAAATTAATTTTGAACTTGGATTCATCAGCTGGCCAGAGACACCAGCTGTTTGCTAACACCTTATATAACATGACAACTTTCACCAGTAAGCGTAGTCAGGCCTGTGTGTCTGTCAGCTTGTTTTCTGTTTTTCTGTACTAGGAGCCAAAGCCTGAGCAATGCAACTTTAAATATTGATGAATACAGTCAGATATTTTGAAGCTGAGGTTCAACTCTAAATGATAGCAAACAGACATTCATGCATGTTCACTTCTTATCTGACTCCAAGCTAATTCCCTGTACAGTATTTTATAACATAGAAGGAGATTTTGTTTGCTGACTGACTCGACTGCTCTTTTGTTTGCCTTGCCTTAATATAGAAGTAAAAGAAGTGCTGGCGTAGCTCATTAAAAGTCACATGGAGCTGTGGCTGCGATTAGCGGCTCCACTGGTCATTGACATAATTGAAACCAAGCTGTGAATTGTTTGTTCACATGAACATCTCAAGACTCAAAGCGGATAGACAAACTATAAACAAGGGAAACTCCTGCATTTCTATAACGTCGCTCCAAAGAAACTGTCACCCGTTATGCTACAGGAATGATTTATGAAATTTTTATGATGTCTGATGTCCCCTCCCCAAAACAAATTTAGAATACAATAGAATCTACTTCTGTCCATAAATCAGATTCCCCTCTGTGTGTGTGTGTGTGTGTGTGTGTACGTGTCTGTACAAAAAACGGCTAGAGAGAGAGTGCAAGTGTTAACTGCGAAGCACATTATTTGTCGCCCTATTCATTCCCTGGTGAGTCCAGTCCATGTCATTATGGTGTGAAGACAGTCTTTGTTTATGTGTCAAAGTAAAGAGCTCGCTGTGCTGTGAGTGGTGGGTGTGTTTGTTTGCCTGCTTTAAGGTTTCATTATGTGCAGCTGGCAGGGGGAGTTTATGTAGTGGATTTATACAGAGTCTATCTGTAATTGAGTGTTAGGAAAGTGCGTGTGCGCGTGTACGTCTTCAGTGAAAGCACACAGACTTGTGTGCACATTGAATGCCTGCGTGTATGATAGTAGTTGTTTGCTGGTGATGTTACTGTGGTTTATTCGTCTTTATGTGTGTCCGTCAGGGCCTATTCAGAATCACAGCAGGGGCCTCCAAGCTAAAGAAGCTAAAAGCAGCGCTGGATTGTTCCACGTCACAACTGGAGGAGTTCTACTCTGACCCCCACGCTGTCGCTGGTACGCTGCAGACCAGAGCCTTTTTTGATTTTCTTTGTTTATTGTTATTTTACTTTATAGTAATTTAAAGTCCAAGAACAAGTAAGGTTGATTTACTTTTTTAATTTTTTTAAACGCAAGAATGAATTTAAAAGCTAATCAATCAAAAATCTCCCTCTGCAGTGACTGACTCATTTCAATTTTCATAACTGAATTTGATATTTTACTTTGAATTTTAGTTTAAATTTACTTAACAATTGTTTGAATGATATAATGAAACTTCACCCAGTAAAGTGGCTTATTCATAATATCTGTGGATGTGTGGTTTCAGGAGCACTGAAGTCCTACCTGAGGGAACTCCCTGAGCCTCTAATGTCTTTTCAGCTTTACGATGAATGGATCCAGGCATCCAGGCAAGCCTCATAACATTATTACTGGGAATAAAATGTACCAATATTAAGTGGATGTATAACTGTAAAGCAATGGAAAATGATAGGACCGTTAATTTGAGACATATAACTAATCAAATGCTCTGCTGTCAATTATCTTTTTTTCCCAGTGTGTCAGACCCAGACAAGAGGCTCCAGGCACTCTGGGTTGTATGTGATAAGCTACCAAAGAACAACAAAACCAACCTGAGGTTCGTTAACAGAAAGTTTGTGACAGCAATGCTTCAATGTCTTCTGAGACACTGTTTCCACCTGTGCTAATTAATTCCCATGTTTCCGTGCAGGTATCTGGTGAAGTTTCTATCCAAACTAGTTCAGGACAGCGAGGTGAACAAAATGACTCCGAGCAACATCGCCATCGTCCTGGGACCCAATCTGCTGTGGGCCAAAACCGAGGGGTGAGAGGGGATTAAGTGGAAGGGGAAGATAATATTGCTAATACAATATTACACGTTGGTTACTATTTAAAACAAGGACAGTATAATAATCTCTGAAAGGCATTATCCTAGTCCAGGTTGGTTGAAAGTTCTACAAACAATAGTCTTATTTTAGCTTATTTTAGCCCTTCATTATGTTAGAAAGCATCTAATTGTCGCTCATCTGTACGTGTCCACCCAGGAGTCTGGCTGAGATGGCTGCAGCTACCTCTGTACACGTGGTGGCCATCATGGAGCCCATCATCCAGCATGCTGACTGGTTCTTTCCCGAGGGTAGGGTTCTGGGTTTCCTCTACAGCAGTTGCTCTCTGTCTGACTTTTTTTTCTTTGGAGCCAATCAGGGCCTATTTTACACCAGGGATGCATGGTGAATATGATTGATATTAACCGCCTAGTAAGAAAGAAAAGAGTCAGCAGTAATCAAGCACCCAAGGACCATGATTAGAATCACTGCTGTGTCTCTTCAAACTGTAGGTTTGTACTGTAGAGGACAGCTTGAAGGCTACAATGAAAACTTACAAAACAGATGTTCTATATCCCCCCTTCATTCAGCTTGTGTTATGTAAAAAACAGACCAAATCAAACGAGGTGAGTACAAATGAGGAAAGTGGATAGAAATATAACCCCACATTAACAAATGTTATGGCCAAAAGCAGCCTCTTTTAAGATATTTTAAAGAGCTGTTTGTTAGATTATTTGTAACCACCATTACTGGAAACTACTTTTAACAATCACTAAACCAAAGTCTTTCAAACCCATCTTTTCAATTCTGTACATTTATCTTAAATTACACCTTCACTTCTTTGGTCAAAACATTTTTGCACTATTGTCATGGTTTAACTAGCAGGCTGGTCCAAGCCAGTCTGCCTTTAGTCGCTGTATCTTAGGCAGAGATGATGATGGACTGTCTACACGGTTGTCAGCATAACTGCTCAGAGATGATGGGTCAGTGGCTTCTGCTGGACCTCAGCTGATTACTGCCTGTATCCGTGGGAGATTGCTTTCACAGTCTCTAGACAATTCCAGGCAGATTTGAGACTTACTTATTACCCATTGCTATGAATCTAAGCATTACTACATCTCTCCTCTGATGGACTTGTTGACCTGTGAAGGGTGTTTGCCCCAAATAAGAAAAATGAAAATGTACGAATAAATAGTGTTCATGTCAGTTAAGAACAAATAAAGATGAATATGAGCATCTGTCAAGATTGGCTTCCTGCCCAGTTTTCATTCTGTTATGCTACGCCTGCCAAGCATGTGTAACTGGCTGTCTGATGTCAACTCCTCTTACCCATAAAACCTTTTGTGTTTTGGGGTTGTTCCCTGAATTTGGTTCACATTACAAACGGCCCAACAAGCCACATCAGGCTCACTTGGATGAAGACCAAGACCCACGTGGTCTAGTGTTTCATAAGGCTGTCCAGTCCTCACACATCACTGGTCACCCACCCCTCTAGATGGTGGATCATCTTTTGTTGTGTCTTTATTTGTAGTTTAATTCAATAAAGGGAAGTGGTTATCCATTGTACCTCCCCCTCTTCGTGCCACACCTTCTACAAGTTTAAAGGCTAAGCTCGTTGTATAACAGTTTGTATTGGTAAATCTTGCTTTCTCTGTTCCTACAGAGGTGGAGTTTAATGTGTCCGGCATGTTTGCGATGCCTACACCTGCATCCAACCACAACAATCACCTAGACTACGACTGTGGAACCATTGAGAGGAAGAGGCCTGGCAGTATGGTGGGACCAGAGAACGACCCGACGCGCAAAGACAAGTAATCCACCTCAGTACCGCTACTTCCTAGAGTTTCCAAGGTTTCTCTGGCCCGCGATATTTGTCACTTACTCCAATTAATCGCTTGGGAAATAATTTTGGCTTTAATCCAGTTGCTTGTTTTGGTTTCTTACTCTTGCTTATTGTACATTTTAGGGTAGATTTGATTGAATCCTAATAATATAATCCATAACACTGTTAATAATGAATTCTCTCCATGCTCTGGGGTTATGGTGATTCTCTATCCCGGTCTAATCTGTGACTCTCTGATCAAAGCTTTGGTGTTTTGTTTTTTTTCTCCTTTACTGTCTCCCCGCTCTCCCTGTGTAGCACCCCTAACAAGCACTCGGACCACACCCTCCGTAGAGGCAGTAACACCTTAGGTAGAAAGCAGCACACTTCACCTGCCTTCCAGCCTCCTTTACCCCCTGTGGAGGCTCCAGGGCAGGGGCACGGGGCTGGGCAGGTCCCCCAGCTCTCGGCTGAGCCCCAGCCCCAGCCACAAGCTCCATCAGGGGGTTCAGGGCCTGAAGCTTCCCAGCATAGCTTGGCGCAGGGTCTGGCTGCTCTCGCAGCCGCTCAGCAGCTTCTAGCCCAGCACACAGAGGAGCTCAGGTAAGGGCTGCTTCTCTGCATCTCTGCTGCTGGTGGAGAATGACACAGCATGCCAGACAGACAGAAAGACATGCTTTAATACTTTTACTGATGTTACGGGAAGACATTAGTGCCTCTTCTGCGAACAGATGAGGTCAGTCTGATTGGCTTATCGAAGTACACTATAGTGGATTATTAATGCATGTTTCACTGATATCTTGCAGACACAGCCTCTTCCCCTGGCCACTATGGTTCATCTCGTTGTTTCTCTAGCAAAACCACAAGTTTTCTTACACCACCACCAGTTTTAGCTATGCAGACTTGTCTGAGTTCAGCCCACAGACACAGCCCAACAATGGCTGCTGTCATTCTGCTAACAGTCACTCTGAGGGCCTCTCCACTTCCCATTCCACTGCTTTCCTCCCCAAATCACTGGAATCAGCAGGAACTTCACACTAACTGGCTCAAACTGCTTTGAAAAGCCTGAACATTGGTGTCTGTTATGCAACGACTGAAGGGTGTCTTTGATTTAGTTGGTGAAAGGACAACATTCATATCCAGACAGATAACACTATTGAGTTCAGCATTCTTTTGGTCCTACAGACTCTGTTGGGAAGGTACATTTAGATGAGACACTCAGATTAGATTTAGGAGGTTTACCATGCAGCACTTGACATGATCGATGAGTTTAAATTTGTGCTGTATTTATTTTAATAGCTCTAACCTTCTATGACAGTCATTCAGCAGTGGATGCTGTTTTATAAGCAAAACCAAGAATGTCAGAAAGCCTTTATGTTGAAATGACTTTTTTATTTTTTCCTCTTCTCTAAAGCAACCCAAAGCTACGTGACTCCACACCTGCCCAGACCCCTCTGCTCCAGAGGAATGGCTCTGGTGGAGGGGGCCAGGCTGCAGGGCAGCTGGGCACTGGGAGTTCCGGGGGTGGATCCATGGGGCCCAGTCCACATATGATGCGCAGAGGTAAGAGTCTGTGTAACAATTTGGTACAAATAGGCATATTTCTCATCCAGCTCATGAGATGTTATTACCATCATCATTATCCTACACTGCTCTTACTTCTAAAACTTCCCCACACTCACAGCTAGTCCATCACACAGCTGCCAGACTGAACTGCTCGGATTTTCACTTCACTGTCACGTGCACTTGCTTCCTTTTTAAAACAGAGAACAGAGAAGGTAGAGCAAGCTTACAGGGACACTGTTTAAATAATTTCCCCCTGGGATTATTAAAGTATTTCTGATTCGGATTCTGTTTATTTTGACCATTTATTGATTGACTTTTTTGTCTACATTTCAGTTTACAGTGTGAGCTGTCTATTTAAAGCAACCTGTCTTGCCATATCATTTCTAGAGTGAAGTTGTATGTAATGGACAATATATTTGTTATTGTTTTCCACCAATAATCACAAGTTTGGCCATCCAATTCCAGGTACCAAGAAGCAGGCTCCGGCCCCTCCCAAACCGACAAACCCTCCACCCAGCCAGCCCTGTAACTCAGTGAACAACGCCTCCTCATCAGGCTCATCCCAGTCCCTCAGCCCCACTCCCAGACCCCTGTCCAGCCACTCGCCCGCCTCGCCCGCCTCGCCCACCTCCCCCACCTCGCAGCCATGTGCCACGCCCAGACGCCACTCCAGCAACCAGCCCCCGATCCAGGCGCCCAGCCACCCACCCCCGGAGCCCCCGACACAGGCCAGCCCTCCGACGCAGCCGGCATCCCACGGCCACTCCGGCGGCGACCAGCGGAGCGCAGACCCCTCACCCCCAAGCACCCCAACCCCTCCGGACACCCCTCCGCCATCCACCGCCACCCAAGATGTAGTCGCTCCTCCGTCCCCGTCGCCCTACCTGTCGGGCTCCCTTCCGCGGCAGCGCCAGTCCCAAAACCCCGGAACGACCCACGCGTTCCCGCCACCGCCACCAGCCCACCAACGCCGGCCAGTGATACCAAGGGATATGTGCCACTGCTTACAAGATGATGGGTGAGTGTGCTCATGCTTTATTGCCTGTCAAGTGTTTTGCTCCGTTCTGTTCAATTCACTGCTGAATACTAATGTGCTCTCTTCTTCTAACAGTGTTGCATTGTAATACCCTCCACAGGTTAAAAGGAGGGCACTTGGTAGAGTGTTTGTTGTTAATTGACCTTTTCACTAAGCAGCACCTGCCACTTTTTGTTCGCCTCTAAGAAATGTTACCCATCGCCACGGCCATTCTTGTCTGCCTGCTGCCATCTCTCAGATATCATTTACCTTAGCCCTGTGATGCACCACTGTCACACTGTAGCACAGACTTATATGGGGACCTAATTTCTGATGTCTTAATGCTGCTCGACAATGTACGTATTGGAAGCGAGGATGAGGAGAGTGAACTGATGAGTAGTATGAAGCAATGTACAATACAGAAAAAGTTTTATCTAAATGTTAGTGCCAAAAATGTAAAACCAACTTTCCAGAAAATTGGCAAAAAAAAAAGTGA